TGGCTGATTGCTAATAGTGCTTTAATACAGCAGCTTCAATAGATACAATGGAGTAATATATTATCGATTTTCGCAAATGGAATGGCCAGACACCAGAGAGCTGCAACAATTCTCTAATGAATCACGAACTTTAGCATTTCACGGTTGAGATTGATTCCCAGCGGAATACAATATTGTTGTTGGGAATAATATTTTTAACAGAAAGAGACTAAAAGGCCGGCACGAGCTAATAAAAGAAGAGAAAGTTCAGTTCTATAATAATATTGTCTACAGTTCAATTCTACATATATAGTAGGTGATTACACAAGCCGAAGATGTCTCGGCAAGATACGTTGTTTTTAAAGGTGCTAATGAATGACTATTAAGAGCCCGATCGTTTTTTTTTTAATAGAAATAGAAAAATGTTGATTGTCTTGATTGCATTACCTATTGATAAAAATTCATTTTGATTCTCTCGTCAGTAGGCCACAGGAATATTGTATTTGCGGAAAACTTGAGATAAGTATAATTTTAATGTGATAATGGGGGGTGAGATATACATCAGGGAATGTCATTCATCATCCTGATGATATTCGCAGAGCGACGAACCTTGTACAGGAAGTGAGAAATCTTCATGAATTCCGCAATGTGTAATGGGGCGACTTTCTGGCAGGGATAATAATAATAATAATAATAATAATAATAATAATAATAAGTGTTTATTGCCTAATAGTTTAATACCATTTACAGAGCAAACTACTATAAAAAAAATCACCATGAGGTGGCTTGTGAAGAAAAAAAAAACAGTAATAATTCATGTATCAATAACAAAAAATAAATATAGCTACAGCTTAAAAATAAGAAACGTAAGATAAATCAAAAGTGAGCACGCAATTTGCACTTCAATTCACCTATGCTATATAAGAATATGTCACATACATCGGCTATTTTATTCGCATTCACACACATCATGTTGACAGGCGGTGACAATAACTTTGTTTGAGCTCTTTGACATAAAAAAGGAACATTATACATTGATGTTAGTCGTGGTACCAGAAACTGTATTTGTGAAAGTATTGTAGGGCAGTCTATTAGATTATGCAGTAATTTATCTAAAACTATAACTGCTGATTGCTGACGCCGTTGTTCTAAGGATTGAATGCGAAATTTATGAAGAAGGATGTTGTATTCTGTACCTCTAGTAGGATATATGCCATCGATCTTAAAACATAAAAATTTAAAAACTTTCTTTTGAAGTTTATCAACAACATCAATATACTGCTTGTAAATCGGACTCCATATCAAAGATCCATATTCAAGCTTAGACCTAACCAAGCTAAAGTATAATGTCTGCAAAGTCAAAAAGTCAAAAGATTTACAATTCCTGATAACGAAGCCATAGGTTCGGTAAGCGCTTGATATGATTTGATTGATATGCTCATTAAAGGTTAGATGTTGATCAAAGTAGATACCTAAGTCTTTCACAGTTTCACTGCGCTCAAGAACATGTTGGATCATTGTATAATTATATACCATTGGGTTGGTTTTCCTTGAAAAAGTTACTACTTTGCACTTACTTATATTAAGATGAAGTTGATTCTTGGCACACCAGCTTTGCAATTTATTTATTTGACCTAGAACAAATGCACAGTCTTCCAAGCATGAAACGGATGAATAAAATTTTAGGTCGTCTGCGAACATTAACTTAGAACAAGCCAAAGATTCACACAGATCATTCACAAACAATATGAACAACAGTGGTCCTAAATTCGAACCCTGTGGTACGCCACTGGTTGAGACATAAACATGTGATATGTAGCCATTATAAAAAACATACTGTTTCCTTTCAAACAGATATGATGTTAAGAGCGCTAAGTAAATGTTGTTGAAGCCCAGGTACTCAAGCTTTCGGAGCAAAATACTGTGGCTTTCGCACAAGTATTGGCTAAGTACCATTAAGTTTGTTAGTGTTGATTGGCTCACAACTAATGTCGACGAGTCCACTATGACTGAAATCAAAGTTCAACTCAGTATCGACATTAGCAGTTGAGTAAACGCTGGAGAAAAAATCAGCGAAGGCGTTGACTATACTTTGCGGATCACCAAATGACTCGTTTCCATACAACATTCTATTGGGAATCCTAGAAGTGTTGTTTTTACTATGTACGACAGACCAGAAAGACTTAGGGTCATCATTTAGCTGATTTTGAATGGTTTGAAGATAGGTATCATATGCCTCTTTGGTTTTAAGCTTAAATATTTTCCTGATTCTGCCGATGCTAAACTCAAGTATTCCTCTATGGAAGGTTGCAAAGTCGCTCACAAACAGAAAGCGAGAACAACTTCCGCACATCTACGGCCATGGTGGCATAGCCTTTAGGAGAAAAAGGTCGAGGTTTTCGCTGATGCAATGGAAAGTCAGTTCCCTCCCAACTATGATCTTGATAATGTCATTGACAAGGAGCAACACATCGTAAGAGTCGTCAGGAGATATTTTAGGCGTCAGTGGTAGTAGCACCTCCATGAGTGATTTTTCATCAGAGGATTCGTTTTCGGAAGATTTTTCAGCTGATGACAAACCTTTATTGTCAAAGTTATTGCAAATATGATCAATCATCGTGGAAGTATTACTGGGAAACCGTGTAGGCAAATATACAATTTGTTCACAGTTGTACGTCGACATCAAATGCCCTAATCTATTAAAATATCAGCTTTTGTAGACATCAAAATTAAAATCTCCATATATAATAAAATTAACACAAGGCTCATATAAAACGTACTAGGTAAAAGTACTGAACGGAGATTCTCTGTAAATACTTATGCACCTCCGCACGGAACTCTATAACAGTTTAAAAGAATATTTGTTTTCTCTTTAGTTTTAAATTTGGTAACACATATTTCAAAATGTTGCTCAACGCAATAGTTATAACTGGTTGTATATTTATTGTATAATTTGACCATATGGCAACACCTCCATAATATTTTTGTGTACGACAGTAGTAGCTACTAAGATTGAAACCTTCAAGAGTAAGAGTTTCAATAACATCACTTTTCACTTCAATTTATACTGTACACAGCAAACGAATCGGGACAAAGGAGCGGTCGTATAGGACAGTTCTGGATGTACGAAGTTCGACACGGTTAGGGTGGGACGCCAAAGTCAGGCGGGTCTGTCTGACAGGCACATCGCGCGGCGGCATCATGGAAGAAAGCTCTGAGGAACAATGCCCGTTGGTGTAGCGGTAGAAAAGAGCTGGATCGCCGACGGCCCGCCGGTGCGAAAGAGTTCCGATTCTGTCTGTTAGAGAAGAGTAATCGATCAGTCGGACCTCCCTCCTCTGGACAGCATCGAGCATGGATAATGTAGTCGGGGCGGCAGCACCCCAAACATGTGAGCAATACTCGAGGCTAGGCCTCATCTGGGCCTGTTATAGAGTGAGAAGGTCATGCGGAGAAAAGTACTTAGCCCTAAACAAATAACCCAGCTTTTTCCCAGCAGCTACAGCTATTGACTAAATGTGTTCGTGCCAGTAATCTGAACTCCCACCAGCCGAAATGAATCACTCTTTTACACAACTCGGCCATCCATCGAAACCGGATGAGCGCTAGGACGCTTTTTGTTCGTCAAAGTACAGTACTGTGTTTTGGAAACATTGAACTGTAAAAGATTGTTGCATCCCCGAGCAGTGATAGCCTCCAGGTCTCTTGTCAGAGAGGAAGTCGTCGCTAGTCTTCTTTTTTCCAGCTCAGTGGCAGAGATCAGCTTGTCACTCTGAATTCCTGTATGTAGAAGCTGTGGATTGGGTTGATCGTGCAGGAAAGGAGGCCGTTGATATGTAAGAGAAACGGTCTCGGAGAAAAAGATTGTTCCCTGGGGAACACCCGCGTTGACGTTGTGGGATGAAGAGGAGAACCCGTCAATTACGACGTCTGATCCTTAAGCTTAAATATGCTGTTTGACATATATGTTTCTGAGAGCAACCCCCTTGTTCCAGTACAGAGAGAAGTTCTTCTATTTTGCGATAGACATTTGACGCCTTCGAGAGTCTTTTATCGTTCGACAAAACAGCAGATGAAAAGGCAGGAGTTTGATTGGCAAACCTTTTTTCCAATACCCGTCTGAAAATCAAATAACTTGACAAAAGTGACAAACGATGACAAGAATCACACAAGTAGAATTTCGTCGCATGTGACTCCGATGTCGAAACGAGACAAATGTTGCGGGATTCCAAAATACCCTCCCCCATTTCTAATAATTTTGACACTGGTTATGCCATTTTCGCACCATAATAAATTTAATCATAAAAACGTAATTAGCGGTCCCTGAAACCTTATCTACGGAGGTCCTTTTGTTTACAGCAACTTGTGGTATTATTATTTGAATTCTGTGTGTGAATGGTAGTACAAGAAAAGGTATCCTTTGAGGATGCCTAGTCTCTCATTATCTTCATACATACGTTATGATGATACCGAATTAATTTTGTTGAAGTTTCACATTTTATAATTTTTTTTAAAGGTTGAAAGCCTAGCTACGAATTACTAATGCATGCTTTTCTCCAAAGAAACTGCGTATTTAGTTTGGAGGAAAACTGAATAACTCCCAGCATCTCAAAGAACGCCTGAAGCAAATCCGCTATCTAGAGTACAAACTCTGTTAACTTATTAGCCTAGTATGAAGTTTAAAGCCAGTTTAATCCGCTTTGATCTTGAATCTCTCACTACTGATGCTGTAACTAGGTTACCGCTTGACGTCAGACCTACGTCAACAAATTTGAGGTTATGGTACTTTTAATAGCTCAAGCTATTTGTTTTTCACCCTATTATTATCCTTTTCGAACTGATTTCTATGAGCATACATGCGAATTATTCCGAATGTTATAAATATGCTAGTAGGTCATGCCCTGGGTCAAACCATGTGCCAGGTAACTGGGATGTTTAAAGCACAATGGAGTCTCTCAGGTGAAACGCAAGCAGTCATAAATATAGCTTTGTAGTAATGTCAAACATGATAAAACACTCACTAGATGGGCTTTCAGCGTCATCCAACCCATGTTGTGGAACGTTTTTCCGAAAGTACGAATTTTAAGCGTACGAAAGCAAGAACGAATTTGATAACACTTCACCGATTTGACACGTAGTATCACAGCAACAGTCACAGATTCAGGGTCAATCCCGCTTCTGAAAGAATTTTAACTAATGGAATGTTTTTAAGAATCAACGAAACAGTTGACAGAGGTAGCGGCCAAGTTCCCGGTCATAGGACAACAATTTATCGACGATCTCAGTCAGCGCGGGCGGAAGACGATTGCGCATGCGCAGGTGGTTGCTGTGACGGAAGCCGACGGCGTCGATTCGAAGCTGGCGGGAAAGCTGCAAAAAGCTTCGACTGAACAGAGTAGGATCTGGGGACTAAGTTTCTACTACAGCGTACGAAGCATAAAAGTACGCATATATGCGCTAAAATTAGTAAAAATACAAAATAAGAAAATGGTGTGTGCTGGGGTCCCACGATGTTTTTTCCATGTTTTTTTCCCGCTGAACACCAATCTGAGGTCGGAATTGGGGATCGCTGGGCAAATTAGAAAGTAATTTAGACTTTTATATCACATATTTTGGTATTTTTGTACGTCCACCGAAAATATCAAAATCTGTGATACAAAATTACTTTATTATTTGTACAGCGACCCCAAATTCTGGCTGCAGATTAGTGTGCGACCCACAGTACATACCACGAAAAGTTCTGGAAATGAGATATTATATTTTTTGAATGTTATATGAGGCTTGTCTGTCCGCTAAACCTATATCTTGGATAGTACTGCTCGGCATGGGTATCATGTAAAAAACCTATAAAACGTCAAAAAAACCTATAAGATGTCATCTTGCAAACTAGGTAGTTTTTAAGGCGCAAACAGTCATTCCCCGTTTGCTCACTAGGATCGTTGTGAACGTCCATCTAAGGAGGAATCACTCAACTAAACTACACGGATTATTGTTTGCATATGTTTTGTGAGGCCAAATTGTCCTTGTCTGTAGTTTTTATCTCTGAGAAGAACGTTGGTTGAATAGCATCTGGACGATTATGTGAATTGGTCTGGATGTGTATCAAATCAGTGATATTTGCTGTGTGATAAAATCATTACTGAATATGCTGCCAATGGAGTATATGTATTGGCTGTGCCCGACGGGTTATTTTTATGTTGTGCATTCTGAAGAGAGGTTATGTTCAAAGTTATAAATTACGAAAAACTGAAGTGAATTGCGGGAAATCATCACCGCGCCCGCGTTGTTAGCATGTATATGGCTTGTAATTCGATAGTGTATATTGAATACAATTATTTCTTATGTCTCTCGTTTTTGCAATTCAGCAAATTTGTATATGTAATTACCAGAATGGATAAGAAAAAGTAGATGATTTCTAGCTTCGAATCTCAATTAAGTGTATTTGAGACAAGAACCCAATGTAATTTTCATCAACACATAGAACTTACAGCTCAGACCTCCAGTAATGCCATCTCTGAAGCAGATTTTACATCACATCAGAGTACAACTAAGTGCTAAGTTAATATCTTGTAGAAAAACCTACATGTCAAAAAATAGCATAATGGCAAAAAAAATCGGCATAATGTCACTTTTCAAGATACGTGATACCCATCCCGATCGGTGTGAAATTTTTACACAAGGTTACTACTATGTCAAGAACAAAAAAGCTTTGTAGTTTTTGAAGATCGGTCAGAGGCGGTGAAAAAAAAGACCAAACACTAAAACAATACAAATCGCTCAAACTTCGTTTCTCGACGTTTCAGGGGATAATAATAACACATGATTTGTGACATGTCAATTTGTGGGTGAACCTTATGTATTTTGAGACACTTAAATCAAACCTAAACACAGAATTTTTCTATCACCCACTGATATTCGGTAACATCTACTTTTATGAATTACAATACCTAACATCTCATATTGCTGCATTTATCGGCGTTTATGCGATGACGCACATATACATATAATGTTAAGACCTGTCTATTCCTGTCTATTATATGCGAGCTCTATGGTTAGAGAGCATCGCGTTTATTAGTAGACTAATAGCAGCCGAGTCAGTTTCATTTTCTGCGTTGAAGAGTACTGAGATATTCTGAGTACTGCTAATTTTTGTTAAAACGGTATGTTGTTTTTAGTTTATTGTGATCGAGACTAGCTTTATGGACAATGCTTAGAAACTGTGTAAATAGTGCGAATAGGTTTTGGTTATCTGTGCGGAGAGCTAATTTTTAAATCCCAAAAACGTACTTTTACTCCCCTTATAATAATAATAATAATAATCGTCTTTATTTAAACTGTACTTCATACAGAAACAAGAGTTGCATATGGTGGCAAAGTTTAGCAACATGCTACTCTTACACTTAACCACCCATGCAAAAAAAAACAAGTTGTTAATTAGCAGATATCAAACAAAATATACATATATACATACACATGTACATACATACATATATACATACATATGTACATACATATGTACATACATACATACATATACACACATTACATACGTACATGTTGCACCAAGGTTTGCTACATGTACACAAGGGAAGTGAAGAATCATTTAACAATATAGTAATCTAATTAAGACTATGGATCCTAGTAAATATGAGATTTGACAGCTTTTTTGAAGCAATTTAAGGACATGGTTTTGAATTCAGGACTCAAGGCATTGTATAACACTGAAGCCCTGTACGTGAAAGAACGCTGGAATAAAGTTGTGGGTGAATAGGTGTAGTTATCAAATCTGGAAATCTAATATGTCTATGATGAATATTACGCCTAAAGATCAGCTTTTCTCTTAAGTATATAGGTTTTGACATAAGTATTAGTTTATGAATAAAAACAAGGTAATGATATTTGACAATATTTTTTGTTATCATCCAGTTTAATTCAATAAGACTACCAGAAACATGGTCAAAGCGCCTTAAACCGCAGATAAACCTAGCACAATTGTTTTGCACAATTTGAATCCGATTTCTAGTAACAACATTGAGACACGGATAATATAAAATATCACAGTAGTTGAAAATCGGCATAACCAAAGATGAACACAGGTTTTTCCTTAGCTTATAATTGAAAATTGCTTTATTGGCATATAATAATCTCAGTCTCAAGTAGGTTTTCTTCAAAAGAATTTTAACATGACTGGTGAATCTAAGTTTGAAATCGATTACCACGCCAAGAATTTTAACCTCGTCAACCGGGTACAGTCTTTGAGATCCAATTTTAATAGTTAATCGACTTTTAATTTATTCTCTCCTACGATCCGAACAAAAAAATAACAAGCTGGATTTACCAGGATTTATTGACAGGTTGTGGTTATTCGAGAAGTCAGACACTTTTTGAATATCATGGTTTATTGATGTCTGTGCCATTTCCATATCATCAATATCAAAATAATGGACCAGTTGAGTATCATCCGCAAAAGACTGGCAGATCAGCAATATATATCAAAAACAACAAGGGACCCAAAACAGACCCCTGGGGTACTCCAGACGAGATTTCTAGAAAACTAGATTTATTGTTTTCAATTGATACACACTGCGATCGATTTGATATATAATTTCGAAAAAAATTCAATGCAATTGGATCTATGCCATAATACTTCAACTTTGCTATTAACAACTCATGATTTATTTTGTCAAATGCCTTGGAATAATCGATTGACATCACTGCTACGCCCATTTTTTTATCAAGTGCTCTAATAATATTATCCACTAAGTTTAAGAGGGAAGTAGTAGTACTGAAAGATTTCCTAAAAGCAGACTGATCAGATGGGATGATATGTTCCTCTGCATAATGCATTAGTTGTATGTGGGCTGCCTTTTCAACTACCTTCGATAAACAAGGCAAGAGGCTTATAGGCCTTAGATCAGCAAACTCATCTGGATTTGATTTTTTTGGAACTGGTACCACAATTGCTCGCTTCCACGTTTCAGGGAAATAACCTCTTTCAAGGCAACTATTAACAAGGTGGGTGATGTAGATGTTGTGTTGAAAGCATACGAACTTTATTTTGGAATTAAAGTTGGCGACCAAGATAAACGATGGGCCCTTATATATGTTGTAAGACTTGTGTAACGTTGTTACCAGTTCGGTTAAGAGGCGACAATCGTAAAATGCCCTTTGCGGTACCAATGGTTTGGAGAGAACCGAGAGACCATAAGTGATTGCTACTTTTGCATCACAAATATTAAAGATATTGGACCAAAATAGAAACATACATAGTGATGAACTCTCTGTTCCATCAGAATCTTGGTTTTTGTATGAAAAAGTTGAATCCACTGCTTCTGAAAGTGATGGTACAGAAAGCGTAAACATTTCCGATCCTTCGTTTGACCTGCCAGGATGTTCAACAGCGCCGCATTTGATCACACGGGGCGAACTTAATGACTTAGTTCGAGAATTAAATCTTTCAGAATCCCAGTCAGAACTTTTAGCGTCAAGATTAAAAGGATGTAATCTTCTCCACGGTGATTGACATTACTTTTTACCGAAAACGGCAACAAGACCTCACACACTGCTTCCGTCAAGAAAGGGAGTTGATATATTGCTCCGATGTCAACAATTTGTTTGAGGCGTTAGGACAGAAACATGATCCAAATGATTGGCGCCTGTTCATTGATTCCTCCAAGCTTAGTTTAAAAGCGGTATTGGTACACAACGGTAATAAATATCCATCTGTATCTGTTATAATGAATATGGATGGGCCATGTGTGCAGATTTAAAGGTAATAGCCCTTCTTCTTGGAATGCAACTGGGATATACCAAATATTGTTGTTTTCTTTGTGAATGGGACAGTCGTGCGCGAGATCGTCATTTTGAACAGAACGCGTTGCCACTACGTCAGGTATTAACTCCGGGCCTCAAAAACGTTGCTCATGAACAACCAGTTGATCCCAAAAACGTGTTGCTTCCACCTTTGCATATTAAGTTGGACTGATGAAAAATTTTGTGAATGCTATGGATCGCGTTGGAAGAGGGTTTTTGCATTTAAAACAAACATTTCAGAAACTTATTGAGGCAAAAATATTAAAAAGCGCATATTTGTGGGTCCACAAAAAGGGAAAATCATGAAGGATTTTACAGAGCTTTAAATGAAACGAGTTACGAGCTTGGAATGCTTTTAAATCAGCTACTGCAAATTTTTTAGGTAATGTGAAGGCGGACAATTGTAAAGATATTGTGAGTGAACTAATTAATGCTTATAA